AGGGGACATGTGAGGAAGAAACTGAAAGGAAAAGTAGAAAGGGTCAAAACCATTGGGGAAGCTTGGAGACTATTTAAAACTACAATCCTAGAGGCTCAGAAAAAATATATACCGCAGGTTAGGAAAGGCACAAATAGGTATAGGAAAAAGTCTGCATGGTTAACTAACAAAGTAATGGAAGCTGTAAAAGGTAAGAAGGATTCCTTTAAGGGGTGGAAAGCTAGTCTCAGTGAGGTTGATAAAAGGGAACATAGGCTGTGGCAAATAAAATGTAAGTCTGTGATTAGGCAGGTAAAAAGGGAATATGAGGAGCATATAGCACAAAACATAAAGACCAACAATAAAACTTTCTTCAAATACATTAGAAGCAGGAAATCAGCCAGAGAGGCAATGGGGCCCTTGGATGACCAAGGGGTAAAAGGAGTACTGAAGGATGATAGGGAAATGGCTGAGAAGCTGAATGCATTTTTTGCCTCTGTCTTCACTGTGGAAGATGAGAAGTGCTTGCCCACTCCAGAACTACTGATTTCGGGAGAGGTGTTGAAAGACCTGAGTCAGATTGAGGTGATGAGACAGGAGGTCCTACGACTGATAGACAACTTAAAAACTAATAAATCCCCAGACCCGGATAGCATACATCCAAGAGTTCTGAAAGAACTCAAATGTGAACTTGTGGATCTCCTGACAAAGATATGTAATCTTTCATTAAAATCTGCCCCCATTCCTGAGAACTGGAAGGTAGCTAATGTCACTCCCATCTTTTAAAAGAGGAGATCCGGGAAATTACAGGACAGTCAGTCTGATGTCCATACCGGGTAAGTTGGTGGAAACTGTTACTAAGGAAAGAATTAGTAGGCACATTGAGGCAGACTTAGCATGCGTTCTATAAGGGAAGATCTTGTCTCACTAACCTGTTAGTGTTTTTTGATGGAGTGTAAAAACATGTGGACAGGGGGGACCCAATAGATGTTCTTTACCTTGTCTTCCAGAAAGCTTTTGATAAAGTTCCTCATCAAAAGCTCCTAAGTAAGCTTAATAGTCATGGGATAAAAGGACAAGTCCTTTTGTGGATCAAAAACTGGCTAATTAATAGGAAACAGAGAGTATAAATGGACAATTTTCTCAGTGGAGGGTGGTAAGCAGTGGGGTACCACAGGGATCAGTACTGGGTCCGATGCTTTTTAAATTGTTCATTAATGATTTGGAGTTGGGAGTAAGCAGTGAAGTGGCTAAATCTGCAGATGACACGAAATTGTTCAGGGTGGTGAAAACCAGGGAGGATTGTGAGGTACTCCAAAGGGATCTGTTGAGGAGGGGCGAGTGGGCATCAACGTGGCAAATGGGGTTCAGTGTGGCCAAGTGCAAAGTGATGCACATTGGGGCCAAAAATCCTAACTATAAATACACATTGATGGGGTCTGAACTGGCAGAGACTGACCAAGAGAGAGATGTTGGAGTCGTAGTAGATAACTCAATGAAAATGTTCAGACAGTGTGCGACTGCAATAAAAAAGGCCCACGCTATGTTCGGGATTATTAGGAAGGGGATTGAAAACAAATCAGCCAGTATCATAATGCCCCAGTATAAATCGATGGTGTGACCTCATTTGGAATACCGTGTACAGTTCTGGTCACCACACCTCAAAAATGATATTATAGCATTGCGAAAAGTGTAGAAAAGGGCAACTAGAATGATAAAAGGGATGGAACACTTTCCCTATGAAGAAGAGTGTGACAGAGTGTTGGACTGGATAGGTCATTGGCCTGATCCAACATTGGCATTTCTTATGTTCATATCTTTAGATCTAAGCCCACACCCAGTGACAATGCTGTTTGCTCCTGTCCAGAAATCAAATATATTCCGTGCAAAGATTTGCCTTAGCATTTCTATTGATGTATTGGCAGCTAAACTAGAAGACAGAATGGAGACAGATGTTCAGACCCTATTTCCAATATCTTGTATGTTAACGATAACAAATAGGTTATCATAATAATAATGTTTGTCACTTTCAGCATTGACTGGAGCCATTTTAATGTTTTCCGTTCATATAGATAAGAAATGGCAGAAGACGTTGTATGTTTTGCAGCAATAAAAAAATCTCTCAACCCCCCCCCCCCCAAAACAAAAAAAAGTCATCTGATTCTCTGTAGTGGTTAGGCGTTCGGACTCTAATCTGGGAGGACTGGGTTTGATTCCCCATTCCTCCTCATGCAGCTGCTGGTGTGACCTTGGGTAAGTCTTGGCTCTCTCAGAGCTATTCTCTCACAGCTCTCTCAGCCTCACTCTCTCAGAGTAATGAGGGCTGGGTCTTTTTCTATGAGTTTTGTTACACAAAATTATCATCTCTGGCCACAATTCACTCTTCTTCTGAAGGTGGGGCACACAGAGCAGTGCTTTTGATGCAAATCTAACAGCTAGGCAGGGTGTCTGTGGTGGGGAGGGGAAGGGAAAGGAGACTGTAAGCCGCTCTGAGACTCCTTTGGTAGTGAAGTGCGGGGTAAAAATCCAAACTCTCTTCCTCTTCTTCTTCTTCATAAACCCACCTTACATAGTTGGCTCCAGTCCTTAGTACATGTTTGTCGAAAGGCAGCTGTGAAAGCACCAAGGTAAGCTATTACTCCTGCTGATACCAAGACATCTCCTGTCAGGTTATCGTAAGTGTTTTGAAGATCATCTGCAGCATGAGACCATCTATAGGAAAGCACAAAATTGAACACCTATTACTACTTCATCACCATTAGTTGTTGTTCATCACATGGGAATTGTTAAATCAGAATTAGAAATCATACTATTAGGAAATCATGTCTAAGCATCAAACCAGGATTCAAGAGATCCAAGTTCAAATCCTTATTTTACTATGGAAGCTCACTGGGTATCCTTGGGCCAGCCATTCTTTCTCAAACTATCTTACCACACAGGTTGTGATGATAAAATGAAGAAAAGTAGAAAAGCGCCATATAAATATCTAAATATGTAATATAAAAATTAAAATCTTGCTTATGTTTTTGCACATTTCATACAAGCATAACACTTATTCACTTTAAAACGTCTGTGTATATATTGTACCATATGGGTTTTAGATATTCACATACAAGCAATGTTGAAAAACATTTTGCTTGCTATAATTGGAGAAAAAAAGTATTGAAGTTAATTTTACTGAGTCTCTTCTGTGCATGGCAGCTGATGATGTAGAATATATGATTGAAAGGCCAGAACCAGAATTCCAAGATCTAAATGAAAAGGCACGAGCACTTAAACAGATCCTCAGTAAGATTCCAGACAAGATCAATGACAGAGTGAGGTTTCTTCAGACAATCAAGGACATTGCCAGTGCAATAAAGGAACTTCTTGACACAGTAAATAACGTCTTCAAGAAATATCAATACCAGAACTGGAGGGCACTTGAGCACAAAAAGAAAGAATTTGTAAAATACTCCAAAAGTTTCAGCAACACTTTGAAAACCTGTTTTAAAGATGGAAAGGCAATAAATGTGTTCATAAGTGCCAACCGACTAATTTATCAAACCAAGTTGATACTCCAGACCTTCAAAACTGTGGCCTGAAAAAACAAAAGAAAAAACTGTATGTCGAGACCTGTACTTTTCAATGGTGGATATGATACCTTTATATGTAAACTTTAAAGTTTTGACTGTATAAATTATCAGTCCCAATTGGAGGGACATAATGCAGTATTTTGAATGGGATTTATTGCCATCTTACACCATATTTTTGTAAAAACATTGTAGCTTAATCATAATCTCACGATGAAGATTTTGCATCACTTTTTTGCTATTATCATTCTTTTCAGAATTATAAGCCAAAAGAATCTATGCCTTAACTAGGAGCAAAGCCCATTGTGGAGGAAGACAACATCCCCTAGCACGGTGCGATGGAGGCACCCCCAGTCTCCCGATCTCTCCCCCCACGTGACCCCCCCCGGAGTCGGGGGGTGAGGGAGTGGCTGGGTGACCTCCAGCAGCCTTGGGGCCAGTGGTGTGCTGGCCCCCGCCCAGTGAGAGGCCAGCCAGCTGCATGTAGTCGTTGGCAGTGGTAGCAGGATCAGGCGCGGCCGCAGGCATCCCCTGCACGCTGAAGTGGGCGGCGCGGCCGCTGTCCGAGTGCAGGGCAGCTGGGAGCCTGTAGCCGGGTTCAGGTGAGAACAGTGATGGTGGCAGGATTTGGGTGAGCCCCCCCCCCACTGGAGCAGCTGGGCTGCCCGTCATCAGATCGCATGGAGGCCGGGCGGCGACATGCGTTCAGGCTTGGGAGGTGGCAGCAGGCTCAGGCCATGGGCCCTGGGCCACACGCAGCCCAGCTGGCTATGGGCGCTCAGGAGAGGATGGACATGGCGGCTGCTTGGGTTAGGGCAAGACCTTACCATGGTGTCTTTGAATTGCGGGGCATGTTCGCCCTGGCGCCACATCTGTGGGCAGGCGTCCCCTGTGTGAGTGGCGGTTGGCTCAGGCTGCGGCTGAGGGAGTGCATTGAGCATGGCCACACCAAAGCAGCTCTCTTCGAATCACAGGGCACTTCACTCTGGCGCTGCCTGTGTGGACAGGGGCCAGCATCCCCGGCGTGAGTGGCAGCTGCCTCAGCCTATGGCTGAGGGAGCGCATCGAGTGTGGTCACCCCAAATTAGCTTTATAATATATAGAGAGATGTCATTATGTAACATTCCTTATAAGAATTATAAATATTTGGTGTTTTGTTTCAGACATTTTAACTTGAAAGCGAAAAACTGCAAGATTATGTAATTTAATAATATTGGTGGTAAATATTCAATAAATAGTATAATGAATGCAAAGTATTTTTCTCTGACCTTGATTTTTCTCCACCAAGCCCTCCAATCAGCTTTTCTGCTCTTTCTAGCTTTTTAGCACATAAATCCACCTGAAATTCTAGGCGAGCTTTTTCTTCCGTTTTTTCTTCAAAGGTTTGCTGCAAAGCTTCCAAACGATCTTCAACAGCTTGAAGTTCAGCTCTCTTTTGATTTAGTAAGGCCATAGTCTGTGCTAAAGACTGCTGTGCCTCTGCTAAGCGGGCTTTCTTAGGAGCAACAACCTAGTCAATTACAATTTAAACATCACTGATCACTAAATGGCTAAAGAAAAAAATATATAAAATGTCTATAAAATGAAGTCTACAAAATGAAGTTCAGCTGCAGTACACAATTTAATGATAAAATGTCTTTCAGAGACTTGAAGTGAAAAGTTCCAATGGAACATAATACTATATTAAGTGCTGCTCCTATTCAAGTCCAAATGACAAGAAGAGCAAATATGAAGGGGGGAAATATCTGCTTGTTTCAGTTTATATCTGCCATATGTCTATCCCTCCTTCAGAACACTCTCTGTGGTATTCTGAGCTCAGCTCCCATCCAAGTACTGGCTGCAATAAGACAAGCTCAGTGCCTGGTTTCTTTTAGATATCTTCAACACATTCTAGTGTTAGCAGATGACTTTCAAATTGTCTGGGCAAAGTTCCAAGATAAGGGAGCTCCCGGCCACCACTGAAGGCAATGGTGGCCAGGGGCTGATTTGAACTGGGGGGTCTTCAGGAATGGCCTGTGGGTTATTAAGGCCCAGGGCAGTGAATGATTATTCCCTATGTGAACCTCTTGGGTAAGCTCCTCTCTGCAAGCTGTATGGTTTCAGGGGTAGGCGCTCCTGGAAGGCTACCAGTGGCTGGGCTGCTGGTCGCAAGCCAGATTAATGGCTCAAGACCGGGGTTGGTGGCTCGCCCACATATTAGACAAGGAGGCTGGTCATCCTGACACCTGCCTTGTCTGTTCCGCTACGTAGAAAATGCTCCCTTGCCGTTTTTGGTTAATAAACTGTTATGTAGTTAATAAAGTGGCCCTTGTTTGATCCAAACTGTTGTCCGTCTCGTTGTTCCGACTGGGGGGGCAAATGGCTATTCACTCTGGCAGCTATATGGAACCTGCATATTCAGAGGCAGTATGCTGCAGATTGCCAAAGCTGGGGACAAGCAACAGAAGGGCTACTGCCTCCATGTTCTGCTTGTGAGCTTTCCATATACATCTGGCCGGGTGCTGTTGGAAACAAAATGCTAAGCCAGATCCCATTGTGACAGTCTTCGTCTAATGGGGCTTTGTGGAATTAGTATTTTCCAAGCAGAGAGGCAAGAAGGTACACAATCCCACCTTTGCAACTCTGTCATACACTTCCATTGCCATAATCCATTTACACAGGCCTTCTGCTGCTGAGGATGCCTTAGCCACTTTGGGTGGATCGAACTCAGGATTAGTTAGATATTCAGAACGAATCTTCTGCATGACTGAAACCTGTGTGAAAATATATTATGTATATTTGAAAATTGTGTTTATATATAGTTGCCAAGCCTGTGCTCGATGAGAAAACGGATATGCAGGGGTACACCTGCAAGGGCAAATCTGCTGGTGGGAGGGAAAGATACTTAACAATGTCTGTCTTTATTGGTTCTCCCCTGAACAGGCCTCCCTGAAATGCCCCCCCCCCCAAAGCTGGGCATGCTTCCAATATTAGAACCCAGCTGGGGGGGGGGGGAATATTTTAAAATGGCCTGGTAAGCAGTTACAGAGGAGAATCAGCAGCCAGGGGCGGGTGTGTGTGTGTGTGTGACAGGTTAAATACCCGAAAACAATAAATTTTGTCCCAGCCCTTGTATTAACATTATATGCTGTGATGGGGCAATCCCATTTAAGAAGAAATTATGCATTTCTGGAGCAAATGTCATAGAAACATTATCTCTTTAACAGTTCATTGTAGAAAGAAATCAAACACAGAATGATAAAATTATTCCATTCTGAACTGTAAGTATCATTACAATCTATTATAATAATTTATTATAAGACAACAAAAACTTACTGGAATGTTGTCCTTGTCATACTCTCTCAGATCTTTTAGAAAATTCATTTCACCCAAAACTTTTTTGCTAGGCCCCCAATAGTCCAAAATCTGTAAAGAAAGTTGTCAAACTGAACATATTAACTGTTGATAAAAGCACCAGAAGAGAACATGTAGAGAACAAAGTATTTATCATTGATTATCTATATATTATTTATATGCTTATTCTACCTGCAATGTTCTAATACAAAGCTTGCTTTCCCCAGATTATCAAAGCCCTATTGCATAAATGCCCTGACCTGGATAGCACAGACTAACCTGTTCTCATTTGATCTCAGAAGATAAATAGGTGCAGCCCTAGTTAGAACTTTGGATGGGAGACACTCAAGGAAATCTAGGGTTGCTACGCAGAGATACACAATGGCAAACCACTTCAGAATGTCTCTTGCCCTGAAAACCCTATGGGGGTAGCTGTAAGTCAGCTGCAATTCGATGGCCAAAAAAAATAACAATCACATAAATTGCAGCTCTAACAAATGCATCTTTAGAACTAGGGACAACATATGCACTGTAGCCAATCATATCAGATAAATAGACTAATCTTTAAAACTGAGATGTAACATCAGATTATATCACGAAAGGTGTTTGAAAACACTGCCACCTTACCAAAACAAGAGGCAGATGGAAAATTAAATTAACTGAAAACCCATATTTTTTTTCCCTTTTTGCTGCCAAGTAGCAGCAGTAGCATGGCGACCCTGTGGGGTTTTTAAGGTAAGAGACATTCAGAGGTGGTTTGCCATTGCCTGTCTCTGCAGAGCAACCCTGAGCTTCCCTGGAGGTCTCCCATCCAAACGCTGACCAGGGACGACCCTGTTTAGCCTCCCAGATCTAGTGAGATTGGGCTATAAAAATGGTTGTAGTTAAGGCAGCATTCACCTTATTCTCTGAATGGAGAACAGGAATTTTGCACAAGCCCCATCTTAAAGTTTCCTATAGATTTTTGCTATAGTGTGTGGAACAACATCATTAACTTATTGAAGGATACTCCTATTAAGAATCCAATTCCGTCTCTATGGGCAGTTTTCCACACTGTGATAGAAGATAAAGCTATCAGTATGGATCCCCTTTCACTGCATGCATCTCTGCCATGTTTGGTCAAAATATTGTTTTATTAAGCCTTTGACTTTTATGTTTCCTATTTGATTAGAATAGCCTTTGCAAACAGAAAGATATCACATAAAAATCACTATCTATTTTACCTTGCCTCCAATTCCTGCAGGATCTGCGACTTTTTCAGGTTTTATATCCTTCATGACACAGATGGCAGCCATGACAAGTTTAACACCAGAAGGTGGATTCTTCATTGATTTCACAATTGTAATATCTGCAGGCTAAAACAAAATATATTGATTTATAATACAATTTGTACTACTGAAAATGGTGGTGAGTTATTTTATATAACTCGACACGCACTGAATTTTTTTCACTGTAGAACTGCTGCTCTCACACTAATGTTCCAAGTCCCCTCCTCTCTTCTTCTCTCCCTTCCTTACAGCTCCTTCCACCCATCCATGAATCATCAAAATAATGCTTATTTCCAGGCCTCTGATGGGGCCGGAGCGCCCCGAAGCGGTGCTCCGGGAGTAAGGCGTCCGGGGGGCGGGCACCTGATGCAGCCCTGCCCCCTGCTTCCAGTCGCCCTCTCCTTCCAGTCGTCATTTGGTCGCAGAAGGGGGAAGAAGCAGGATGGTGAGTAGGCTTTCTCCCCGCCCCATCCCCGGCTTCCTCCCCACCCTATCCCTGACTGCCTTCGGCCGCTCCACACGGCCCAGGCAAGGCCTAGGCAAGGCCTCTCTGCCCCAGGAAAGCTCGAGGCCCCGTCCCCATCTTGTTCAGGTCACCTGAAGCAGCCCAGACGAGGCCCCCGTTCCCGCCTCGTTCTGGCCACCTGGATTGGCCTGGATGAGGCCCCCCGTCCCCACCTCGTTCTGGTCGCCTGGAGCGGCCCAGACAAGGCCCCCGTCCCCGCCTCATTCTGGCCACCTGGAGCGGCCTGGATGAGGCCCCCGTCCCCGTCTTGTTCGGGCCACGCAGTAATGCTCTGCATTCTTGGTGCTTGGGGGGCAAGAGTGGGAGGGCTTCTGTGGTTCAGGCCCTGCTGGTGGACCTCCTGAGGGCACCTGGTATTTTTGGCCGATGTGTGACACAGTGTTGGATTGGATGGGCCACTGGCCTGATCCAACATGGCTTCTCTTATGTTCTTATGTCTGGGGCAGTGATGCTGTGTCTTCTTGGTGTTTGGGGGGCAAGAGTGGGAAGGCTCCTGGAGCTCTGGCCCTGCTGGTGGACCTTCTGATGGCCCCTGGTTTTGTCCAGTGTTTCCTCTAAGTGCAAGCCAGCTAAGTTTTTTAGCCTCCGGCTCATACATACTGTGGCCTGCCCAGTAATCTATTCAGAACTATCAGATCTGCTGTGCTCTTCTAATCTTTCTGTTGTAACATCTAGCCTAGAAATGCTCCACAAAAGTTGATCCTACTTAAACGATTACACAGACTATCCTTTGACCATGGTGCCAGAAATAAAGAGGCAATATCAGTCAGCTATTTCATAGCTTCTACATATCTGGGTGCCAAATGATTGATTTGTTGCTACTGACATTGATATCGGGAAAGCAGATCTGCAATTGTCTTAGGCCAGAGGCTCAGAGCTAGATTTTATTTAAAGGAGGCTTCTGGCTTTTACTGCAAAGAACAGCCCCTTGTCTCTTCCTCTGTCTCTCTCTCTCTGTCTATCTGTGTGTCTGTCTGTCTCTCTCTCTCTCTCTCACACACACACACACACATGTGCTAACCATCCCTATGGTGCTATAAATATATATAAATAAATTTTTAGACTTTAGTTATTATACAAACAGTTGGAATCTTAGCATGTTCAAAACAACCAGGGGAAGATTCAAAGGTGCCCTTGCATAAGAGGAAAACACTTCAGCTTGTGCAATTTCTACAGACTTCCCGCTTGAGCTGTAGCCCTGTGGCTTGAGCTGTAGCCCTGTGCCATCTTCTAGCTCCCAGGAGCAACTTTTCAGGTAGGGTGGAGCCAGCTCCCAAAGGCAAGGGCAGGCAGGAAAGGTGAGCTTCCTGGCAGGCAGAAATTGGCTCATGATTCTTGGTTTCCAACTCATTGTTTGTGACATGTACTTGAGTATATTTCTAGATCAAAACAGCAGAGATGAAAATTTGAAAGCCTTTCTGTATGAGACCTTGGTGGGCCACCGTCAGTAGGAGCAGGTGGTACTGGGCAGATGGATAGGGCTGGATCCTTTACATGATATCACCCTCCTCCAGCACAATAGGCCTTTCCTTGATGCAAGGGGTGTTAACTATTATGTTTGTACCAAGCTCACAGAAATGATGCTTGGGCCCCGTGTGTGTTTAAAAGAATCCAGTGGCACCTTTAAGACCAAGTTTTATTCAGGTACCACCTCTGGCTTCTCTGTGAGAGCAGATCTGCTCATCCCCCCCCCCCTCCATAGCCAGTAAACCAAAACAGTCCAGTGACACCTTTAAGACCAAGTTTTACTCAGGTACAAGCTCTCCCTCCTTTGTGAGGGCAGATCTCCCCCCCCCCGCTAGCAATCCAAAACAGTCCAGTGGAGCCGGAGCGGTGGGTGTTGCCTTCTGACACACTTCTGGTGATATCAGGGGCTGTGGCCTTCTGACACTTCCAGTGATGTCAGGGTGTGTGGCATATGCTAATGAGTTATGCTAATGAGCTCCTGCACCTCTTTTTCTACGAAAAGACCCCTGCTTATTTCTCCTGTGTTTCTGGCTATGCTCTGTCTTATCCTTGTTTTTATGTGTTCCGATGACATTGATTTAACTTGCCTTCAGAGTGTCCAGTGCAGAGAGAGCTGCCTCTAGGGCTGGAATTGCCTCTGCAAGGTCACTCTCACATTCATTCTTTAGTGCCTGGGCTTCTGCTGCTTTTTCTGTAGCAAGCTCTTCATCCACTTTTACCGTTTTGCTTTTGGCCTCTACTTCTGCAGACTCTCTCTCTATGACCTAATAGAAATACAAAGAACATAGTCATAGAGTCTAATATACTTCCAGCAGATTTTACTCATTCATTTATTAAGAGAAAAGAGAAAAGACAGGTTTGAAAAGAGCTGAAATTATTGCCAGGACCACACCCAACAAACTCCAGCCATGCCCATTAAGCCCATTAAGCACAGAGCTAGACTGGAGTCCAACAGCACCTTGGAGACCAAGAAAAATTTCAGGGTGTAAGCTTTCATGATACCTGATGAAGGGAGCTTTCACTCTTGAAAGTTTCTACCCCCAAAAACTTGTTGATCTCTAAGGTGCTACTGGACTTGAACCTAGCTCTTCTACTGCAGACCAAAATGGCTACCTTCTGAAATTATCTCCATTAAGCACAAGGTAAGCCTTGGAGCAAGGTGCAAGGTAATAACGGTGCTTGAATAACTGCCCCCTCCCCCATTTGAAATTCAGCCACACTCAACCTGTGGTCTGGCTAGGTTTGCCACCTCCAAGTTGGGAAATACCTGGAGATTTGGGGGATAGAGCCTAAGGAGGGTGCAGTTTATGGAGGGACTACAATGGGGCATAAAGCTGTAGAGTCCATTTTCTCTAGGGGAACTGAGCTCTGTCACCTGGAGATCCGTTGTAATTCCAGGAGTTCTCCAGCCACCACCTGAAGGCTGGCAATGCTAGGGCAGGCTTTGATCCCAACTGATGGGGGGAGTTCTGGCCACACAGTATAGGCCTGATAGGGAAAAACTATTGGAGTGGGATATGAGATACAAAAAATGAATGAGATATGCTGAGAAGGCAAAAGATGATTTGGATAGGCTTATATGAGGAAGATTTAATTACAGCTGACACTGAAGCATTTATTTTTGTGAAGGGAAATGGTTCCAGTTAAAACTGGTGTGTGTGTGGGCACACACATATAAATAATGATATGGCTTGTCCACTGAAAAATTGTTACTGCAACAGACCCGAAGCACAGCATATTGGACTTTCCTACTTGCCTTGTATAGCATGCCGGTATAAGCTACTGCAGTACCATTTGAGCAAGCTGGTGCACTGCAGAACTATGTACATTTTTAAGAGCAGAAACTTTACCTTCATCATAGTTGCATTGTCCACTTTAGCCTGCTCCAGTTTAGGCTGCAAATCAACCAGTTCTTTTTTCATTTCACCAACCTAAAACCAACAGCAGTTGTACACCAGTTGTTTACAATATTGCAAAATGAAATAGAGAAAATGACATTTATATATGCCAATAAGTTATGCGTTCTCAGAATTTGCATGAGTATTTTAATTAATTATATCCTTCTTTAAGACCCCTACAACATTAGTTCTTAAATGATACGTTCTTGTCACTAAATACTGAACATACAGAAGCAAATTCATAAAAAACTTAAGACTGCTGAAGGGAGCTGGTAAACAGATCTCACAGGCCACAGATGCTGAGGCTGTACTTTTACAATTAACTTACCTGAGATTCAGCAAAAGCTAGTTTGTCTAAACCATTAGTATATCGTTTTTTGGCCCTCATCACATTGTCTCGTTTTGAAGTCAAAAGTTGTTGGAAAGAAGCAATGAGTTCAAGATATGAAGTAGGGGTGACATAATTATGCCGTCCCAACATTTCCAAATATCTGTGGCATGAGAAAATAATCTTTAGATACAATGGACATTCAAAAGAAAGGATCCATTTGTTCAATGACAAGATCTCTTGTTTTAGCTGAATATTATTCTAATGTTCCAAGACACCCATGTCACTAAGAGCTTCCCCGGACAACCAATGTAGAGGATTAAGTGTACAGTTATTACCCATTTATGGTGCCCAGTCCTGAAGTCTTCCTTCTTTTTCAAAAAATGTTAACCACAAGGAGTGTGTGGGAAAGATACACTGAATCTTTCCCCTGCGTCATGTCCAGCAACTGTCTCTTAGCAACTGTTTTTTCTCCTACTTGGACTTATTTGTGGTCCTGAAGCCTCAAGAGAAAAATGGTCGGGGGGCATATGGTTTGGTAATATGTGAAAAGTGGCAGGCAGAGGAAAGGTTCAGCTCCTCACTCTGACATGCCACTTTAAGACAGATTTAGGTGGGTAGCCGTGTTGACCTGAAGCGGGAGAACAAAGTTTGAGTCCAGTGCCACCTGTAAGACCAACAAAGTTTTGTTCAAGGTATAAGCTTTCATGTGCTGGACTCAAACTTTGTTATTCCACTTCAAGTTCACCTCTCCCAAACATAGAATTAAACATTAAACATTTGATGGCAACTAAAGGTCTAACATGTAGCCCTTTAGATTCCATGCAGCTAAAATGACTTAACATCTATTGGTTCACTTTAGTGGAGCTGAGGATTAACAATGAGGCTGCAATAAACAATGTATTTACTCCTAAAATCCAGGGCACCTTGGGTTGGCTTCAAAGATGTTTTCCTACCACTGCAATGGCAGTGTACTACCAGTGTCCCTATACACACAAAGCAGCACTTCTGTTGACAGAGGAAGGGTAATTTTTGCCTATTCCTGCCCCATGTAGCAGGCTCCCAGTTCAACCCCCGCCCCTGCTGTTTATGAGGGCTGTATGGGTCCCAGGAGCAGAATTTCAATTAGGGCTGCAGTGGGAAGAAGGCAGAAAAGCCCAGTTTCACAAGCTTCAGTCTCTTACTGGTACTTTGGATTCTAGCCATTGTTGGGAAATTGCTGTGTAATTACTGTGAATGGGTCTAGAATTTATGGTTATAGCAGGCCTGGAGCCTGGACAGAAAGAGAGACACTGAGGGAGAAAAGCTGTGAACTGGCTGAATGTAAAACTCCTTGGAGTGCAGGAACATCCTCTCTGGAGACCTGAGGTGGCATACCAGAGATGCTGCCATGTAGGAGTGTCCCTTCTACTCTACCCATACATTTGCAAATTAAGCAAAGGAGACATAAGTCTCCAGCATTCTCTCCTTCAAATAAAACAAACACAGGCTACACTGTCTCTGGAACTTTTCACTCCTCGAGGAAGCAAGAAGTGCGTAGCAACATGCAGGGCCGGCCCCAGCTTATTTTGCACCCTAACCTCTTCCTTTTGAGAGTCCTACATATTATATTAGTCTGTTTCAAAAATGTGTACAGAAATACAACCTTGCAGAAAGTGTCAACACAGAAGTATGGAAGTGTTTGCAGATAGGAACAACTTCCTGCCGCTCATTGTCTGTGAGCTTAAGCCTTTCCAAAAACTTAATAGCCACACGTTCAAGAGCATCATCAGGCCAAGGCTGAAAACAGAAAAAATATGAACTTCACTGGAGATCCCCCATCCAATATTAATGAAATACAATTTTTGACTCTGTCCTTACTAGTGGCTCTTCATTAAATCTGCTATAGGCATTTAGGTAAGGGAGAAGTCACAGTTCATATTACAAGCTATTACATCTGACACACTTAGGCTGCGGTCACACGGAACATTAGCCACGCTAGAGAGACAGAAGTCAGGCGGAGTTTCCGGGCACGATCTTACCGGCACATCTGGGAAGCGTAGTGCTTCCGTGGCTCAACCGAGGCTTCCCGCTGAAACCGCGCTGCTAAAAACTAGTACCTTGGAGGTACTAGTTTCCGGAAACTGCTGGGCAAGGGCGGGCGTCTGATCGCATTTCCGGTGGCATCCGGCGCCCGCCCATGTCCCCTTGCAAACAAGGTTTTTTTTTCCAAGTCTCCGTGGATGCGCACAACGGAGCATGCACATTTATGGTGTACACGACAAAAAACCCACACCCGTTTGCCGCACCGCGCGCTTCTTTGTTGCGCGCAGGATCGTCCTGTGCTCAGCACCTCTCCCTTCCCACGGAACCTCCACGGGACCTCCACGGAACCTCCAGGGGAGGTCTGATCCCTTAACCGCGCATTAGTTTGCCCCGGGGCAAACAGTCACGCTCCCCCCTCCCGCAGTTTCCTGCCTGTGTGACCGGAGCCTTAGTTATTTATTTTCTTTGCTGTCTAATCACAGCCAACTTATGGCAACACATGGAGTTTTCAAGGCAAGAAATGTCCAGAGGTGGCTTGCCATTGCCTGCCTGTGTGTAGAAATCCTGGACTTGGTACTATCCAGGCCTGACCCTGATTAGCTTTCAAGATCTGATGAGCTCATGCTAGCCTAGGCTATCCAGATCAGGGCACATTGTCATTATTCAAATTCAAATTCAACTTCCTATTTCTTTTCTTCCCTCTGAAAGGTTTTGCTATGTTGGTGAGCATGGAAACTCAAATTATGCCTCTTTCTAGTGACTGTTTATTATTCACTTTTCTTTTCTGGTATTTTTGTGTGTGTGTTGTGTGTGTGTGTGCTTGTATGCCTGGAAGTCACAGTGACTTCTGGTGACCCTAGTAGAGCTAGGACATTTCAGAGAGGTGGCTTGATATTTCCCTGCCTCTGCATCCCAGCCCTGGTATTCCTTGGAGGTCACCCTTCCAAGTACTCGCTGGGGTCAGCCCTGCTTAGCTTCTGAGATCTGACAAGATCAAGCTTGCCTGTGCTACACAGGTCCAGTGCCACTTTTCATATTCTTTTTGTTGTGTGTGTTATGTAAGTCCGAGGTTCAAAGATAGCATTGTAGTTCTGACCATAAATGATACCAACTAGCGACCTGACAGCATTATTTCCATAACCTGCACAGCAGCTTCCAGGAAACCAAAGTCTTTGGGTTTGATTGGGGGGCATATGGTTGCAAAGTTGAAACTTAGATCCACTATTTGTATAATGGGTTTTCCACTCTTGTGACATAACTAACACTATATGTATATAGACATAAATATATATAGACCTTTGGAAAGGGGGGGGGGGAGAACCACATGCACACACACACACACACACACACACATTCAAAGCTTGTTTACTGTCTCAAAACTATGAAAGGGGCTATGGTTTTTTTTTTACAATTATTGCAATTTGGCAGAAAATGTACCATATATAAGAGAGACAATATAAAGATTAGAAGGTATTGCTGAATGTACTGATGAACTATGAAGTTTTCCATTTGTTTAATTACACTTACAAACCTGGAACCAGTCAATAGTACAGCAGTTGATAAGTGATGGGAACTGTCTCAGTCGGTTGCGAAAAGCATCACCAATCGGGCTGAAAGCAACCACAACGTGGAGATTTTCTTTGCAGCGATTGACAAAGAAAGCAAATAAGGCTAAGGGACTGAGCTCTTCATGTTTACTGCCTGCCTGGGCTACTGCACGAACACCCTAGAAGATAATGGACTCTAATAAATTACACAGTTCTAAAATATAATACTGGAAAGTAATTAAACCAATAAATAGAATGTCAGAGCACGACACCATTATATTTCCAAATGAGTGCTATATATATATATATATATTCTATGTTATATTTTTGATGTTTGTGACACTCAACATCTTGAGTACATAACCTCATTCTGAACAGCAGAATTAGAAATCTTTCTGGTCTGTTCCTGATTTTTAATAGTATAAGAACAAGGCTCAATTAAAATTTACTATCTACTCATAGTAGCCAGTGAAGAAGATTTATCCCACATAAAACCAGAATTATCCTCTTTATTAATAAATGCACTCCAACGAATAAACTGATGTTCATAAATCTCCATTTACTGAACATTTGATCAGCAGGCTTAACAAAGACATTCAACCCAAGAGGATGGGTAAAGTGCAGAGTCTGAGGCATAAGTTTGCTGTTGTTCATGTGGATTTCTCAAATGGGGATGACTCTGTACAGCTGCTGGAGATAGAGATTCTGTGACTTCATAGCAACCTTGTTACACTGAGAGTCCCATGGTAAACTTGAACCAAGGTCATAAAATATAGTAATATTAAATATAAAATGAATATTCATTCTATGCCTGTTTCAAAGGTCATGGAAGGATTTTTTTTAACACTAGAACAAGTCAAGAAATGGAAATAAAAATAAAAGGAAAGCATGAAGCCATGGGAGGGTGTTTGGGCACTTTAAAAGTGGCTATCATCACATCCAGTATGGCCCTGAGCCCTTTGTAGGAAGGGTGGGATAAAAATGTACTAAACTGGCAGGTGGTTAAGCAAGTGCTTATTACATTTAAAGAAAATTCTTATAGGGATACCTCCATAACTTCTTGTTTTTCATCAGCTGCAAAAATATTTGGTACTTCACCAGTATTGAGCACACTGTCAACATCTTCCAAAAAGGCTTCTTCTTTAATTTGTGTGTCTGTGATTAGAAACACAGTTTTCAAGCCCTTCATGCCTGCACTCCTCAGAAGGGTCTAAAAGCCACAACAAAATTGGAAGGATTTAAATTTTTAATTTTACACGTAGTACCTAGAGTGCAAAACCTCAACACGTACACTTTAACCTGCAATACTGGGCAAAAATTCTATGCTTGGGGATCCCATTTTGCTATGATGGATTCTTCAGTGAGGAAAAAACTTCATCTTTAAAAACTGGGGAGAAAGGGGGAGAGAGGGGAAGGGGGGGGGGAGAGAGATATGCTAAATGCTTTCAAGAAGCCTTACTGCCTGTTAGGGTCTTTCCCATGCATTTCTGATTGTTCCATGTCATATTCCATGCTTTAAATATAGTTTTATTGAATTTTCTTGTGTAATAATTACATAAAGCATCCTGAACTCATACTATATATACATTATCTAGTAAGTTACCTGATTTGTTTACAGACAGCCTTTCAACTGAAAATGTCCCTAAGGCTATTTACACCTCAAGGATCAAGCTGTATAAAATATTTGCTGTAGCTTGACACTTGAGGTATCCTTAGTATATTTTGGGTTGTGTTTGTTCCCCCCTTCTCCTTTGTTCCTAAGGCTATTTAAGGTAAAGGTTTCCCTTGCTCGAAAGCCAGTCGAATCCGACTCTAGGGTTGCGGTGCTCATCTCCGTTTCAAAGCCGAAGAGCCAGCGCTGTCCGAAGATGTTTCCGTGATCATGTGGCCGGCATGACTAAACACCGAGGTGCTAAACCATCTCACAATAAAGTCAATAATAATTATCGATCTATCATTCCCACCACCATCATCATTATTATTATAATTTCTATTATTGCTGGCATCATTGGGAATTGGTCCTGTACTCACACAAAATAATTACTTGTGATGTTGCATGAAGGTTTAAAACTTTACTTCTAACTTTGGACACTCTAGCGACAAAGTCAAACAGAGTATTACACAAAAGTAATACACAGAAACCTCACTGCAATGACAATGTAAGACAGCCCACAACATTTAACAGCCTATTATCTATGTCTAGATATATTTTGTGGAATGTCCAATTATATACACTTTGTTTAGAACTCAGATACTCTGGATATTTGAATATGAATCAGAAACTGTATTTTATGTACTGACTGTGAGCCGCCCTGAGCTTGCATTGCAGGGAGGGCAGGGTATAAATGTGATTAATAAAATAAATAAAAACCTATTCCTCTTGTAAGAATGAATACAGTAACTTGGTTTTACTCATTTAAATTGTAAGCCACCTCAAGAAGGACTCTGGAGCAGTGGCATAAAAATCTCCTTTAAAATGATAAATTGCACAGTTATAATATTATAGCCACTGAAGAAGATGACATTGAACAATATAAAAATAATCAGTTCTGGCCTAAGCCAACCAATGTTGATTTTTACCTTTAGATCTTCCCTCCATTCATTCATTCCATAACTTTTAGAGATTTCTGGTTGGAAAATGTTCATTTTTGCCATGGATGTAGCCAAACGAGTCAGGGACTGGCGGCCACTTCCTCCCATTCCAACAAGTAAGGCATTACCTCCTGACTGCTTCAGCACACGACATATGCGAGATAAATGTTCCAGCACATATCTATCACAGAAATATATATATATATAATGAAAAACTGAAGCATCTATATATGAATTTATGCAAACTCAAAACTTTTCCCCTGTATTTCTCTTTGTGAAATGTACCACATCCACAGTAAATCCCAACCATAAAATATATTTTGCGATCATCTCAAAGTCTTCTAGTACAATTGTATACATCTCTGTGATCACAGCCACATTTGTACTGACCTTCCATCATGACCACAGACAACACATCGTTCCTCTTGTTCCACCTTGAACCCGGCTTTATGGGGTGGTTGTCCTGTAGTTTACTGCACCTGTGACTGCCTAGTTATGCTCTTTCTCCTCCCTTGCAGAAACCAACTGCTTCTTGGGTGATCCTAGGCACCCACACAAGGTATCACTTCCCCTTTGTGGTCCAGCCTCTCCCAGCTTCAATCCCATTACTTTTTTTATGGCCTGTGTAATCTCTGCTCTGCCTTCATGCTCCTTTCAGACTTTCTCCTATCCCTTCCCCATGTGCCATCTGGAGCTGCCTTCTCTGGCTTCTCCTACACCCCACTCTGGCTGTCTTGCAGCCTTTCCCCTCAGGTCCTTTGGAGAGCCGGCATCACTGCATCAAAGTCTCTCTCACCAGGAGTTGCATGCCCACTGACCAGCTCGGTGTTGGGCTTGGCCATGGTCCTGATATAGCTGCACCTGGCCAGCTGGCTGATGCAGGAGCCACTCCAGCAGTGGATGGAACCACTGACAGTCTGGGCTATGGCCACTGTGTGCCAGTGTCTTCAGCCCCCTCTGAGAGCAGGAAGGAAGGGCTGGGTGGAACTGGAGTGTGCTACAAGGGCTGGGCATCAGAACGATCCTTAATTAATCCTTGTAATAATGAACTTGATGGTCCTATGCTATCAGTAGGACAACAAAACTGGGCCATACATAGAGAACCCTGAACATATTCACTGCCCTCCAGGAAACACAGAATGTGGGCATTTAGGCATCAATTAAAGGAGAGGGGTGGGAAATAAACAAAAGAGAGAGGGGAAATTGGCCTATGTTGAGTCCTTGTAACAACTTCAGGATCCTAGATGGGGAGTTCATGGCATGTGTTTCCAGCCCAAATTCCCCACCCATTCCTAGAAGTAGCAGGAGCTGGAACTAGAGACGGGAGCTCACTCCGTCATGCGGCACCCGGGTCTCGAACTGCTGAACTACTGATCTTCCACAGCCTGCAGTTCAGCGTCTTAACTACTTGAGCCACCGCAGCTCCTAGAAGTACAGAGTACTATAAACTTTAAAAGGATTGATCCTTTTGAAGCTAAAAAGAGTACTAAAAATTAGGATTAAATAGGCAAATCTCCTTCTCCTCCATGGAATAAGTTGTCAAGGGGATAGAGCCATAACAGTTTTTAGTATCTTGAGATATGATGCATGTGTGTAAAATTAGATTTAGAATGATGTATACTGTCAGAAATGCATTTCCTAGCTCCAAATACCCCCCCCCAAAAAAAAACAGAAAAAGACAGGAAAAAATACTGCCCCGCTGCATAATACTACTCAGGTTCAGGGGTAGATGAGCAGCTTCCTGTCCATCAACCCCTGAAGCCCAGAGTCAGGGCAACTGTGCTATAGCATAAAGGCAGCTGCTCAATTCACCCTGAACATAAGTAGTATTAATCCATCTCTGAAGAAACAAACAAAAATTATTGCTCTAATTGGGAACAAACTGGATAACCACCAAAATAGAGTATCATGTAAATATACTGATGCACCTGAAAATTACTAAGTTCATTCTTGATTTATGAGTTTGGTTATATTCATCCAAGCAAACCTCCACGATATCACTGAACACTTGCACATTTGGAATTTCAATGTAAAGTCTTTCATCGCCTTCAAGGTCAGGATTCATGTAGTCTCCAAAGAGCAAGTTCCTCATATCTTCTTCACTTACCTGTTAGCCAAAAACAAATAGCTTGTAGTAGTGTTCTATAATAAATTTGTACGTATACAATTCCATAAGTAGGCAGCTGTAAGACCCCATTACTCCACTTCAAGAATAGTAATAAGAACGCACTTAATGTTCTGAGAGCACCTGATGCTGCATCATTGTTGAAGCTGAATGTGGATCTGATTAATCTCTTGGATGGTAGATCACTAAGAGGAGGGTATTGCTACAGCTGATAGTATACTGGGATGGATCACGCCAATCAAAAAAACCAGCAAAAGCATAAACAAGACAGGGAGCACAGGAACTTAAACATGATAGGGTTCACTGCATATTGCCTCCCCAGAAATGTTCCCTCTAAACTCCACAATGTTGTGAGCAAGAATTCTACCTCTTGAGCAAAAAAAAAGCTAGTAGCATTAAAGTTGTGAGCGAGTCTACATTTGACTATCACGTAAATTAGTTTCTTAGAAGATTATTTCCATAACCTTGTAAAAATCTCAGAATGAATTCTTTTAAACTATATTTAAACTATATATTAAGAATAATTTAAACATTATAAGAGAAAACAGAATCAAGTCATTACAGAAAATGTCCTCTATGGGGCAGGGTACACCAGGCCACCGGAGAACAGGTCTACCCTCCTCTTTCCACTATATTGGTAGATCTGGCCTCCAGATAACAGGTCTACCGTTCCCTTTGCACTATATTGGTAAACCTGGCTTCTGGAGAGCAGGTTTACCCACCCCTTTCCACTATATTGGTAGACCTGGCCTTTGGAGAACAGGTCTACCTGCCCCATTCCACTATATTGGTAGATGTGGCCTTGGACCGTTGCCCTGCACTGAGCCTTAGAAAACATACTAGCGCTTAGGGGAGAAAAAACTCTTGCAGTCTACTTTGGGGTTTTTTTTCCTTGTGAAATATGACAGATTTACAGGTTCAGTATAACAGAGGAGGAACAATCACTGTCAGAACCCTGTCTAACCTAACAAACAGGAAGTTGCTTAAATGTCATCAATTTGACCAGGCTACTTATTTATTCAAATATTTATATCCCACTTTTCCCTGTAACTCAAGGCAGCTTACAAATCATACTGAAAAGCATAATAGGATTGTGCAAAAAAATAATATTGATTTTTCCTGCTCCATTATAGCCTACTAGTCTGATACCCGTGCTTCGCTACGGTATTTAAGTTCCGTAAATTCAGTTATAATACTGATATAATACTGATGATGTGAAGTTTGAAATATGACATTTGTTGTAGGAATTCTAGTGTAGAGGACTGTAGTGTAAAAAATTAAGTGAGACATACATACTTTTTTTTCTCTCTACCGAAGGACCTCTCTGTAGACCACATTGGTGGTTCTGCCCTCAGGTGCTAGGATCACC